CTCTCGTTTTTTTCCGAATCTGTTATATTTTTACTTGTATCATTTTTATACGTAGGTACTGTTTGGGTATTTATCTTGGGCTGGGGTAAATACCCGGATAAATACCCATTTTATAAATACATACCTACCAGCCGGGTATTTACCCAACGCCCATCACTGTCTACTAGTAGTTCAATAGCGGGCCTAATTTAGTAGTTATACATTTATTTAGTATTAAGCTTCACCTACTTATATAATTTTATTTTAAAGCAGTTCAAAAAACGCTATTCATACGAAATGGTCGAAAAATACGATAAGATCGTAAAAGATGCAATATAATAAACAGACCGCTCGCACAAACTGTTTTGCCACGCCATACGCCCTTTGGGTTCGGGGCTAAATCGAAATTAGCGAAGAAATTAGAATATTCTTACCGTGGGAAATTTCAATACAACTCATTTATACTAAAAAAAATCAAAAAAATGTATGCATAAAAAGTAACCGGAAAATTATTATCCACGGCACCAAGAACTCGGTTTCGAAACTCTTCTTAAATCCCTTCTTTATCTACGTTATTATCAACAATTATCTAAATATCTCACCGTGCGGTCGTAGAGTTCGTCTTTCTATGCATTTTTTATTTGAAAGTTTTTTGGCTATATCAAACGGTAAACGCGTTCTGTTGGAATTAAATTTTTAGCCCTGAGACTACAGCCTTAATATATTTTTCTATACCAACACTTTTCATAATACGATGACAAATAATCGGCCGGTCGTAGCGGTATAAAAACACGTCTATACAATAGTCGATGTGTTTCTGTCTCACTTTTCAGTAGAAGCGAAACATCTGTATTTTAAAGATGCTAAACCAAACACTTTGCGACCTCTACAAATCAGAGAAGGAACTATACAAACTTTTTTATCAGTTTTTAGAACCCAAGTAAACTGAACGGCCACCTTATATGGCGGGCAGGCATCTTTACACGTATAGGACAGGAACGGCTTAAGCGCACTGTACGAATTTTTGTTATTTTTTGAATTTACTTTTCAAATAATTTTTAATAATTTTTTAAATCAAAACAGCATTTTACAGTTTTTATAACCTTTTATTACAATTATAATTTACAGTCAATTGTAACCTTGAATGAGGAACTGTGAAACCTTGAATATTCAAAATAATAAAATCCTTTTGAAAAACCATAATAATAATAAACCACTACTATTGCTACTAAACCACTATATTCTACTATACAGGTAATTCAAATTCGACCCCCACCATTGGAACCTCAGAAACCATAAGAGATACAGAAATGGTTAAATGGGGGCAAAATTGTGTATCTAAGTGCATCATTTTTCAACTAACTTTTTGGATCTAGCCGTTTTAGTTTTTAAAATATGGCCGAAAACAAAAAAATAACTTTTTCGTTTTTTGCCTATAACTTCTTTATTTTTCGTTTTTTCGTGAATCTGAAAAAGCATTCTTAAGGCAACTTTTTATGAAAAATGTCATGGCACAACTAGAAATTTTCTCCGACGTTTCGTTTTCGTGAAACTATGATCAGGTTTATTCTTTTTTTGAATAATTCAATGTTTTTTTAAATGAAATATATTATGTGACATATTCCGTCATATTGTTAAATTTATCAAAACATGTACGGCATGCAGATTTTTTTATTAAGAAAACCGTGGAATTTTGACAGTTTTTGGTTCATGTTTGTATTATTGTTGTCATTAGTCATTGACGGCATGTGTAAGTCATTGAACATCATGGTAAATTATTCCAACGTCGATATTTAAAATTCATTTTGTATTAATGGCTAAAGTAATAAACTTTTGAACAAGACGTGTCGAACACTTAATGACACATGTCTAACAAACCTAACGCCCATCAAAAAAGAAAAAATTCAAAAAAATTGATAAAGATTTTCTTAATTGCAGATATATCGAGACCAAAAGAAACAAAATAAATATAATAAATATTATATCGTATTTTATTGCATATCCAATTTATATTTAATAAAAAATTTATATTATAAATTCATATTTTTTATCCAAATCTAATTTTTGTCATCAGTTTTTGATTTTTTTTCGTTCTTTTAGTTATTTAATCTTCTGTTTGTAATTTTTGGTAAACAAAAGCTAGTAAACTAAAAGATTATCAATCGTAGTTAATAGTACAAATAATAGAAATAAATTAAACGAAAAACTGTCAAAATGTCATGGCTTTTCGGAATGTTTATATAGTTCATTTTTTTCTATAATACCTGTCAATTTGTTGTAAAGTTGGCAAAATTAACAGGGAGTTTTGTTTTATCATGTTTTGAAGTAAATATGTCACATTGACGTTTGAGCTTTCGTCATTCAAAAAGAAAAGGTGCAGTAAAAGTGTTGTGGGGTGTTTATTTGCCATTTATTTACCTAGAAAAGGTATTTTATTCTATTAATTACTTTGTAGCACGTTTTTTTTCGTTAAAATCGTATTTATGTAAAAATTGATTAGTATTTTAACCTCAACTATTTAGTTACTGAAAATGTTACTAAAAATCAGGAAAACAACATAAATGTTATAAGGGTCCTAGATAATACCAACAGAAACTCTAAATAATTTACATTGACAAGTATTATAGAAAAAAAACGAACTATAGATAATTTGTAGAGAATTAAATTTCCTTTCGGGTAGACTAATAAAATATAGTACGTTAAAAATTACAAATTACAACAATGTAATGATTTGAACTTCCAGCGTTTTAATACATAAACTGGATACATTTCTTAATTAAGTTAAGCGTAGTACAATGGCTGCGTCAGTTGAAGTCGTTGAGGAAATTCCTCCTGAAGTAATTAGCGTAGTAGAAATAGAAATAACTGAAGAAATTCAAAATGGTAAGAGAGAATTATAAACATAATTAACGCCAAAGATATTTCCAACATTTTTAAAAAATTTACAAATTTTAAACATTTATAACTGAAAGTTAGACAACCCATTTTGCTCTTCTAAATTAAACATTCAAACATAGATTTACAATATTATAAACAATCATTTATATGGTATTGTTCAGTATTTCTTTATTGAATTTATTAGAAAAACTAACTAAACAACCCAAATGACTTTATAGATTAAAATTAATTGAATTATTGCTGCGCCATCTGTGAGTGAGTAACCAAAGAATAACTAAACTCGATCGATACACGAGGAGTTTTTAGGTTGTCAAGAAGCAAAAACGTTCTGCCAGTTGTGTTAATAGATTGGTGGCCATCTTGTAGATCTGATAAAAAGAGGAAAATCTCAGGTATTACTTTACGTACTCACATAAAACTTGTTTACCACATCGCTAGTCGTATTTAAGTTTTATTGCGATTAATTTCACGTTAACCAATATGAAACATCCGATTTTTTCGTCGATTCTATCAATCAAGAGTACCTCTTGATTACCTAACGCACGTTCCACACACATACACCAATTAAAATAACGCCAATAATCATGGACCCCCTTCATAGATCCAGTTATTTTTAATTAAAAATATAATACTTTTATTAAAACTGCAGTCTCAAGATGATATCTTAGAATGTATCACAGCTCCTGATTCAGTTAATTATACCTGCAAGTTCTCTTGTAGGTTGCGCACATTATTACTACACTACAGTGAGATGAATCCATCGTCGGCGTCGACGGTGGGATTCTGGAATGATCCACCACCGCCTGGTTTAGAAGACATCCAAGAAGTTCCAAAGTACGAACCTGACAAGGTTTCCGATCGCGATAAAATCATGGTTGAACAAAAATACAGAGATCGACACAGTTATCGCCGTCGATCTCGGAGCCGATCGTACGATAGATCACATAGATCTCGTTCGAGATCAAGAGAAAAATCAAGGAGACGTCGCAGTCGTAGCAGAAAGAAGCATAGAAAATCGCGTAGTAGATCGAGGGGTCATTACAGACACAAGAGTAGATCAGTGAGTCGAAGTATTTCCAGAGATAGGAGTAGTCGACACAAGCATAAAGAGAAAAAGCGAAAGAGATCTCATTCAAGATCCCGTAAACATTCCAGATCTAGATCAAGGTCAAGGAAACATCACTATTCAAAAACTTCTAAAAAATCTTATTCTAGATCACCACATTCTAATAAGAACGATTATTCAGATAGAGATGAGAATAAAGATGTAGACGACGATGATAACGATGCTGAAAATAAAAATGCATTTAAAAACGATGGTTCATTTTTGGAATTATATAAAAAAATGCAAGAAGAGCAACAACAAAAGGCTGAAGCTTCTAAGATTGAGACACCAGCAACTGGAGGTGAAATGAAAAAACCAATGTTTGGTAAACGAAGAGGCGGGAGAGTACTTAAAACCGGAATGGTTGCTAAAAGTAAACAGGGCGATGATGAACTTGGAGTTGAACCGCAAGACCCTTGGTCGATTTATTTGAAGGAAGTTAAACGCTATAAAGAAGCTTGTTGTGATGATGATTCGAAAACAAGACCGCTAGTTAAATAATTAATAAAAAACTTTAATAATTTATATAATTTTTGGACTTATCTCAGTTAACTAAATAGGTAAAAAATAAAAAAAAAAAATTAGAAAGTCATCTCCACAAAAACACAAAAATTAACTTATTTTAAAACCCACTCTTTGATTTTCATTGTTTATTTTTTAATTGGTTTCAGACATGCCAGCTGCAATGCTTTCTGAAGGTACCGTATCGACGGCCCCATTCGACCCACGGTTCCCAAATACAAACCAAACGAGGTATTGCTATCAAAGTTACTTGGATTTTCATCGTTGCCAGAAAGTCAAGGGTCAGGGTTACGCGCCGTGCAACTATTCCAAGAAAATGTATGAAGCGCTCTGTCCTAATGCTTGGGTGGAAAAATGGGATGACCAAATTGATGGAGGAAGTTTCTCTGGACACATCTAAGCTGGGTCTCAAACCACCCTCTTACCATTCGTCAGTCAACTCTAGTTAACTGTAGCTACAATTTTTATGTGTTCTAATTTATGAACATTTAATTAAATAAACTTATGTAAATACGGTTACTTTTAATTTTAATAAATAAATTTATCGCCCTAAAATTTTATTTTGGTTTCAATTTTAATTCAAATTGACAGTTTTAATTTTGCTATTTATTTTATTTAACTCATACAGGTATTTACAAAATTTGTTAATAATTTATGACATGTAAGTCAAGAGAGGAAATACATTTCAAACTGTAACACGTTCGCTGCGTAAACTTAACTTTCACTCGCAAGGGAAGTGTCGGAACTGTCCCTCACCGATTTTGTTACAATTTGATACAGCAATAGTATGGCCAAAAATAAGGTTTACGTATTTTTTTATACCTGCTAATAGCACTTGGGGCGAGTTATATATATATTCGCTTATAGCCTGAAGACGAAAATAGCTACAGAAATAGTAAATGTAAACTGATATTCATTTTCAAAGAGCTTTCCATTGATATATCACACATATATCTGAAGGCTTCAGGGGGTAAACTATCCCTAGTTTTTTGGAATATTTTAAAAACTACCGTGTCGATTTTGGCGAATATTAATTACGTGTTTATGTTATTTGCCTCTGACCATCCCCTGCAATGTTATGATAGATAACCCCTTTCATAATCCATACTTCAGCAAAAATTTAAGAATTATACTGGTGAAAAACCAAACTTAAGGGAATAGTCGGGAATACTCTGGTCAGAAGGTTAATTTGCAAGAAAAAGTCTGAAATTGCAATAGTTATAAACTAGACTTCAGCAAAAAACAGGAATTACATTGTTCAAAGTCCACATGAAGTCTGAAATTACTGTTCAGAGAAAACAAAAAATTGATTATAAACCAAACATGATTTTTCATGGCAATACTTATGTGTTCAATAAACGAATGCGAAGAATATGAACAAGAAACCAATGGACTTGTCTTGTTATTGCACAGGACAGGAAATCACCAATACGGAAACTTTGCCAATGCAGNTCTTTTTTACGAACCTTGTCGTTAGCGAACAATAGAGCGTATATATTACTAAGGTTCTGAGTATCAGTTTTAAAGTTAATAGAATCCTCCGTGTAATTAATATGTACCATTTCCAAAAAGAGTCTATTGAAATAGTTAGGTTCAGTATCAAGTATTTTAACATTATCAAAATCAAACCGGTGGCCCGTGTCTGTAGCATGTTGTGATAAAGCACAAGTAGACTTTCTAAGATTGCAATCACAAAGAAAAACCTTTGCAATCAAAGGTTTTTCACTAATGTTAAGGACAAGACAGAACACCAATGAAAATTGGTGTTATTTACTGCATTCCTTGTGGTGCATGTATGGCAAATATGTTGGTCAAACGGATCAGTGGCTGAAACGTAGGGTCTCCAAACATATAAGTGATTGCAATCTTAGAAAGTCTACTTGTGCTTTATCCCAACATGCTACAGACACGGGTCACCGGTTTGATTTTGATAATGTTAAAATACTTGATACTGAACCTAACTATTTCAATAGACTCTTTTTGGAAATGGTACATATTAATTACACGGAGGATTCTATTAACTTTAAAACTGGTAATACTTTCGATTTT